ATTTGTGTTCCAAAGATGAACGAAGGTCTTACGGGTTTGAAACGACATGAGGGTGAGTAATTAATGACAGAATTTTCATTTTTGGGTGAACTATCCCTTTAAGAGAAGATGTTTCTCCTAATGAGATATAGCAGGATAGAGTCTCTTCAATAGGAGGCATCCTCTCATATCCGTGTTCGTGCATCCCCTCAATATTAGCATAGTAAGAATGCTGGAATCTGTGGATGTGCGAAGAAAACAGATTTTTCCAAGCCTTCTCAATCTCCACATGGAGATTGGAAAGGAATGGAAGACACACTTGAGCTGGAGGGCTATGATCAGAGAGGTAACGCTCGTCCAAACGGCCCCAAACACAGGTCATGCCAAAGGCGTTCCCCATAGCGACAGCTAGAGGATGCAGTTCGAGTTCCCTCGGAAGGGAACTGGCAACATTGTTTCTAAAAATGTGAGTTACTCAATATGAACTATTTTTTTTTATTGAACTGCTGTATCAAGAAATCACATTTGCACGTGTGATGTTGTTCCGAATGTCTGTGAATCGGCTGTCATTCACAAAATATACTGTAAACAACAGCGCTCTTTCTCATGTGATATTTCTATATTTATTCTTAAATTCTTCTGGCTATCTGTAGATAGTTCTGTTATTTTGCATTTAACAGAGAACTGAACCTCATCATGATTTGAATCCTTTACCTTATACACCTTCCCAAATGCTCCATCTCCAAGTTCTCCCAGAGTCTCCCACGTCTGGTGTGGATCCACATCCCTCTTCAAGTTTTCATAGTGCCGAATTCTCTTTTTCTCCACGCCCAACCGAAAGATACGCATCAGGAGGGAGGCCATGGCTCCCTCCCTTTAAATTCACCCCAACACCTTAAGAAATCCCAGTCCCTTCAGTTAATCAGCAGCCCTCGATGTCTCATTCCACAATTAAAACCCCCGCCCAAACTAAAAACAACACAAAAGACAACAGTCTGAATCTCTGTAAAGCAAAGATGCTTTTGATTGTCACGTGACTCCTCATGCGCACCTCAGAGCACGACAGGAAGCTGCAAGTAGCAACCACATCCTTCAAAAATAAGGGCCACAATAATGTGTAGGACGCACACCTCGTCTGTAGAGATGTATTTAGTTCGTGCTGTCTATTGTGGTGTGTTTTTCAGCAGCCAGTCACAGTGCCATCATTTGTGTAAGAAAGCATAATGATTTAGATACAGATATGAATGTTTGGTTTTAGGATGAATATATTGTGTTCAGTTTTACATAAAGGCAGATTGCTCTGTGCAGTAAGATGTACTGTGTGCACATGGCCCCGTTCTTACTTATGGTTTCAAAACCAAACAACAGCGTCAAGTGTTCTAGGGGATCCCCAAATTGTACATATTGTACACCTACTAGCTCAAAATCACCAACTTTATCAGTTTTTTTTTTTTTTATTTAATTAAAAAAAAATCCACCATGGGTCTTGAAACAAGTCATCAATATGTGTTCCACTGTGTGCTCTGTTTACTGACGTGTAGGATGATCTGAGAGATGTAGTCCTACATTTTAACCACTAGATGTCGCTATGGTTCCACTTTCACATATTTAACCTTGGAAACGCTGACATGAAATAATAATCAGATAATTTTTTTTATTTGTATTTATTTATTTATTTATTTTCATGGAACGGTTTATTGAACCTTTAGAAAAAAAAAAAAATACAAGTTTGCATGTTTTTTTTTTCAGTGTCATACATGGCTTCTGACTCGTATAGTATGCTAGGCCTATATGAGAATATGGAGCTCATATTCAAGGAGGAAAAAAACACCTCAGTGTTATTCAGAGACCCAAACTGATAAAAAAAATATGAATTTTGGTGCAGATGTTGTTATTTATATGGCCAAAAGGTAAGATGATATTCTGATGGTTTGTAATGTGAATCGATGAGATCTTTATAACAGTAAAACAGGCTACTTAAAATGCTTGTAAGTAGCAGTTGTCACTCTATATCTCCCAATAATAATGTCTTAGTAAGATGACATTTAAATGCTTAGTTTTATGATCAAATCTCTGTAGATTTTATTGTGGGGAGCGAAATGTATAATGCAATGAAATACAATGATGATTGAGAGATGAACAAATAAATGTTCCTCAAAAGCCTGTGCATCATATTTGATACTTATGTTTTATCATTATTTTTCTAAATAAATATATATATATATGGATAATCGTGCAAATCGAAGTTGTTTCAGTTCTTAAGTGTTAATTTTGAAATATTACTAATATTAAAGTTATTCTTACATTGACTTTATTAAAATTTAAATCAGTAAAGATTTCACAGCAAAAACACACACAAAAACAAGAATCACAGCCGACGGGGATGTTTTTAGAATGATATTTAAAAAAAAAGGCCTTTTACTTACATATAAACTATCAGATGTCAGAAGGCATGCATAGATTGTGCACATCAGGCTTTTCAGTGAAGTTTTCATGATGTTGATCATTTAGAGGCCTTAGAAATTTGTGTATTAAATATGATACAGTAGGATTTACAGGGTTAAAGCAGGGCCAATTTCATAAACACAGCCACTGTATTTATGTCTGACGTTGGCCAGACTAGTTGGCCAGAAATAGATGACTTTATTTGTAAGACTAATCTACGGCATCTGGCCACATATATAACAAAAATGGCCAGAAAAATTATTTTAAGTCGCTTAAGCTGTATGTATTATATTGTATTACATAACAAAATATCAAATAAATGTTAGTAGCAATTAAATGCTAGTTTCAATATCAGATTCAAGTTCAGATTCTCCTGCTGCATTGATAATCAACTTGTTTATGCTTAAAAAATGTTTAATTTGTCAAAGTTTGAAAGTTAAGACAAATGCAAGATAATTTGCCATGCCTTATTTCTCTCACCTTGCTTAAATATATCCTCCCAGCACTAACATATGTGACAGCAAGACTCGTCTGTGGCTTCACAGTTGATGATCTTGTTTCAGAATGCATCCAACTCAACATTTTGAAACTCAAGACAATGCAATCAAAGGCATGAACTTCAACAGAAAAAAAATGTTGGAAAAACAGCAACATTTTCAACAGTTATTTCATTAATTTATTTGTCACATCCTCAGTATAGAAGCACTAGGAACGGTTGTGGAAAATTATCTTAAAAGTCACTTAAACATGTACACCCTCAGAATGATCAAAGCCCAGTCAATTTTTTATGGGCGACTTTAAAGAAGTTAAGGAGTCTTATGACCAGCCCCATGTTACAGTACCAGCATGAGCAGTGTAAGTCCTGGCCTAACGCTCCACTGAACTAATCTGAGGAATGAGAACTTGGATGACATTCCTGCTAATCAGCTTGTTTAAATAGAGTCAAACTAAAAAACAGACGACATCTCCAATCAACCATTGAACAGCATTCCAGAGGAAACACAGGTTGTGCGTCGAGTCAGAGGACATGGTGGAGAACCGTGGTGAGGCTTGCACCTCAGCCGTTAAACTGCTAAAAACACAAAATAAAAAGTAAAACAAGGGATTCTCGAACTTTATGATGCCAAGGAACCCAGAATATCATGTTTCCTTTACAAGGAACTCCCTCTTAAAATATAAAAGGCAACTATATAAGACGCATTTATTGAAAATATTGTGTCATTATTTAAGTTTTTTTTTTTTCAAAAACGAAATGCTACAGAGCCTGTAAAGGGACAGTGATGGAAATAAAAATTCTATTCCATTGCTGTTGCATTCTATTCCAAAAGATCTCCGTTCCCTGAGAACTTAGTAAGAAACCATGTGACCGAATGCAAATGTTGTGTTCTCTTTCAAAAGTTTCTCAGGGCAGGGCAAAAGTTTTATGAGTGAATGCAAGGTTTCTTGAGGGAATGCAAAAGTTTTGCGAGTGACGTAAAGTTTCTTGAATGCAAAAGTGTTCTGAGCAAATGCAGTTTTGAAAGCGAATGCAATGTTTCTTTGGGGAACGTGAAAGTTTTGAGACCGAATGTAAAGTTTCGTGGGAAAGGCAGAAATTTTTCCTCCAATCTCACATTTTTACCATTACCATCTCACTTAATATGCAATATGCAGATTTGTTTTAAATTTATTTTTAAAGTTAGGACTGAATTAAATAGCATCAAATACAATAGTTGTGGTAATTGTGCTTAATAAATATGTATTAAAAATGCTTAATAGGTTAATTTAACATTAATGGTCTTGTAAGTTAACACTGACAGCCCTAAAATGCATTTTATAAAATTTAAATGAATCTTTTACATTTTAATTTTAAATTGTCCACGGGCACCCTAGCAACTCAATTTGAAAAGTCCTGGGTAAAATAACCAATTTACAGCTTAAAAGGGATTTATATTTACCTTCCAAAAAAATGTAGATGATCAGATTCATGAGAAAATACATTTCACCTCAATCATTTTGATCTTTGAAGCTTTTTTTAATTTTTTTTTTTTTTAACTGAACAAGTATCAGTTAATCGCAAATATGAGTGAATTTGACCCGTTAAATTTAGTCAGTTTTGAAAACAAAAACCATTTTATTTGTTCACATTACACTAAATAAACGGGGGTAATGATTGGGATGTGCAACACAAAGAGATATGAGCATTGAGCACCTTTACTTTTTGACTGTACAGTGGTAAAAGATGGTACGCGGTTTAACACAATGAGAGGCAGTTTCAAACTCAATTTTCAATTTTAATCAATTGATCAACATAAAAAAAGTGCACCAGGACAGAATGGGACGGCAGTTTACAGACGCAACAAATTCAATTAGGTTTACAGTTGAGTTGAATGCAGGCTATGGGATAAACACAGCAAACATTTGGGGGATTCAATGCTTTTTAAATTAAAACTTTACAGTACTGCCATACTATATTGTTTTCCCTCCCAGTAGTTTATCCAGTACAACATGAAACTCAATAACGTTTGTCTTCAGGGGAATTTTGAATATTTTTAACCATAAGTGAAACGTTAACTTTACGACTCCATTTAGATTTTCTTGAATCATGCGTTAAATTTCAACGCATGATTGAAAGGGGGACACAGCATAGTATGAACAAATTAAATACATAGATTATGATAAAACATTTTTTGTGCTAAACTGCAGAGTCTGCCATAGGCAGGCCTGGCGTAATCGCTACACCGCTAATCTCCTGAGGGAGTGAACGTAAAATTCCCTTAGAAAAGGGAATTTGACATTTTCAAATAAAAAAATACCCACATACTTGGCCATTTACAATTCATCTGCCAAACTAAATCCAGAATGCAAGCATATGCATTCCTCATATTAAAATATGACTTCTTTCACCTTCTAGCCCACACATTTGGCACAGCCGACTGTATAAAGCAGTAGCACTTATATAATATGCAGGTATTGTACAATTTATTTACACATTTACACAATGAAGTTCAGCAAAGAGTGGCAAGTCTTGTGAGTTCCTTTTTTCATTTCCTGGTTTTTGATGTTTTTTTCATTGCAAATTTACATTATTCGTCAAATCTTCAGGGGGATGGGAGATGTAAACATGTCGGATGTCAAGCTGGAGTGATGTCTAAATTCTAACATAAACAATGTTCCTCCTTTTTGAGGACCAGATGTCGATGGAGGATGTGATGCGGCTAGTCCATCTGGTCCGTATGAGAGGTGTGAGACGGCAAGGCCTCGGAAATCCTGGACTGTGAGAGACGCTTCCTCAGCAGAAGCAGCCAAACTCGAACCTCCACCCTCATCTGCAACAGAATGAGGAAACATGGAGTGCCTCTCACATCCCATTGGCACTCATCTTGGACTTCTGTGACAGCTCTGCCTCTTTAGCCTGATGAGAAAGAACAGGTGGAGGTGAGTGTGTTCAAATCCAGCAGTTTCTAGACAATAGTAGCAGTTTCTACATCAATGTAGAAGATATACACACAAAATATACAACAGTTATAGTTAAATAGACATTTACATATGCCCTGACACACATTTATTTATATATTTAAGGAACACTCCACTATTTTTGAAAATTCCAACTCCCCTAGAGTTAAACGGTTGAGTTTTACCGTTTTCGAATCCATTCAGCCAATTTCCGGGTCTGGCGGTAGCACTTTTAGCTGTAGCTTAGCATAGATCATTGAATCTGATTAGACTGTTAGCATCTCGCTCAAAAATGACCAAAGAGTTTCTATATTTTTCCTATTTAAAACGTGACTCTTCTGTAGTTACATCGTGTACTAAAACTGATGGAAAAAGAAAAGTTGTGATTTTCTAGGCCGATATGGCTCGGAACTATACTCTCATTCCGGTGTAATAATCAAGGAACTTTGCTGCAGTACCATGGGTGCAGCAGGCGCAATTATATTATGCAGCGCCTGAAAATAGGCTAACTTCCATCAACATAACCAATGTGACCACCTGCTTGCACAGGGAGCGTGCTGGGGACTATTTTCAGGCGCTGCGTAATATCATTGCGCCTGCTGCACTCATAATTCAATGATCTATGCTAAGCTACAGCTAAAAGTGCTACCGCCAGACCCGTAGATCGGCTGAATGGATTCGAAAACGTTGAAAACGGAAACTGTTTAACTCTAGTTGGAAAATGAGCCTATTTTCAAAAATAGTGGAGTGTTCCTTTTTCCTTTA